CGAGCAGGATCAGGTTAGTTTAGAACTGGATCCCCCATCATTCGGTCCATTCGAGCAGGATCAGGTTAGATTAGAACTTGATCCCTCAACAATAACTGTGAATGTGATTTCCTTTTAGCTGTGAAAAATTCGAGTTGCAACAAATTAATTGAAAATCCGCGATCAACTATTCGCTCGGTGTATCTATAAAGTCGCTGAAAATGTTTATACTGAAAAACAACTGATACTACTCGACTACTCAATAGCGCTGTTTAGAGATGAACTAAAGCGTGATTTTAAAATCACTGTTATAAATGTGAATGTGATTTCTTTTTAACTGTGAATTTAACCTGTGAATGTGATTTCACTTGTGGTTGCCGTTTTTGTGATAGAGCAGCGTCTTAAGGTGATGGACAATTGTGCGTCACTTGCAGAAACAATTTTAAAACATTTGTAATTCATATTTTTTAAATAAATAACCTTATTTAGGTATACAACAAATAATATGTATTTTATACTTAAAGTACAAATGATTTTAAGGACATTAACAAATAAGAGCCTCTGCAACTAGCAACTGGGTACACAATCCGGAAATAGGTTCCTAAAAATATCGATAAAATCCAGGCTCATGAGAATCCATGAATACAAGCTTTCATTCGCTAACAAAATAATTAATATAAGCTGTAGATAAGTTCTATATTGTTGAGGCGGATTCATTTTTTTACAAACTTCTTGTTGGTTTTTTCGAAGTATTTATTTATTATTTTTATTAGTATTGAACTTTTTAAAAAGTCACATAACTGACAATTTGCACAGACGAATTATAAGAGCGAATTTTCATATACTATATTATCCTACTATTGTTACACAATTTATTAACATACTCTTTTTTAGGTTCATTTAGGTTGTTTTGATAACGATAGCAGAAAATAGCTATCGAAACGTCAAGGTAATTTTTCAAACTAATTTATTTACTAATTGAAATTTTCTCTTACAGCTTGAGCCTAAGTGATGGTGATAGTTCTTGATTACTTTTTGATAAATAATTCGTTCTTATTGCTAAATAGGAGAAATATTTATCAATCTGTAATAAAAGACGCGAGGAAATTCTGTCTTTTTTAAAGACAAAAATTTTTGAGGCAAAATACCCAACAAGAAGTTTGTAAAAAAATAATATAAGCTGGAATTAAGAAAATATAAGTGGCTCTTTAATATCACGTTTGGGACCATCACGTTTTAAATCACTGTTTATTTTTACGTTCGTCACATATTGTGATTGCGATTTATTAATCACTGTGAAAAAATCACAGGTAGTGATTTCTTGCTCAACTCTACAAGAAATGCCCCAGAAATCCTCATTTGACGCGTTTTCTGACTATAAGATCTCACGCAGTTTGTATAATGCATTCTTGATCTATGGAAACACTCACTTTAACTTAAACCGTGATTATTTCACCAAAATATAAGATTTTCCCCGACTTGACAACTACTCAACTTGTGGAGGTTTGTATGAGTGAGCTAACTAGGGGTAGCTCGGAATATACCGCCACGATAGATTCAAATGAAAACCAGCAGCAAACACTAACAAATCGTATATTTTACGGAACGTAACGTACACGTGGTGTGCTCGTAAGTTGAAACTACATATGATGGCGGGTGCCGAAAGGCAGCGCCTTTTATCCCTCCTCGGAGGGCCTGTTGCGGTGTTGTCAACTCACGCTACAATCTTACGCTAGGTTGTTGTCACCACAAACTCAACCACCTTCAACTCTGACATTGACGTTAGTGAGTTAGGGACAATTAATGATGACAAATGAAGTTGATGGTTAGTTATGGGCACAGAACATACCCCCTGGGGGGATATTTTGTGGTTATGAGTTAGTTCGATTTTAAGTGTCAGGTGGATTGAGAAATAATAATTATTGACACTTTTTTATATACCATAGCTGAACCTTTCCTCTATTCGAAATCTTTCGAAGTTATTGGTTTTTGTACGCGGGTTTAACGTTCTTTGAATTTGGTGCACTAGAAATCCATCTTATTTAACCACATTGTTCGCTCCTAACCTCAATAATCAATCTCGATTTACGTCTCTATTTACACTGGAATGTTGTTTACCAGTGCCAGCAGATCGAAGAAATGGATGTTCTAGACACGCATTCCCTGGTTCTGGATGTGTTAAATCGAGCATCCAGCCAGGATCCTCAAATTTTAAAACCCGCTGAAGCGAAACTGCGTGAATGGGAAACCGAACCAGGTTTCTACACTGTTCTCAATGTAAGTCAGCAAACGGACTCCAGCTAAGTTTTCGAAAAATGTGCCAAATATATGCAGTTAAACCGGCTGAAATCGTGGAAAATTGGAGCAAGTAAATCCACGTTTTTGTGTTTTTCAGAACGTCATCTCCAATCACAGTCTAGAAGTGAATGTGCGATGGATGGCAGTTTTGTATATGAAAAATGGAATCGATAGATACTGGCGGAAGAACGCCCCTCAGTAAGTACAGCTCAATAGCAGCTGTTTGTCTCTGGTAGGCTCATGACTTTCTTTACTCTAGTGCCATATCTGAAGAGGAAAAACAGTGTGTTAGGCAGAACCTATTAACCGACTTTATGGAGCCAATTAGTCAAATCGCTGTGCAGCGCGCAGTGATTATAGGCAAAGTGGCTCGTCTGGATTGCCCCAAAGACTGGCCCCAATTATTCCCCACTCTGTTGCAAGCTGTGGAAACTTCAGACAATTTAATGCAACATCGAGCATTGCTGACTTTACACCATGTAGTAAAAACTATTTCCTCCAAAAGGCTGGCAGGTAATATTAATCAATGGATACGTTTAACTTTCTACTAGATTCAGAACGTCTATTACAGGTGATAGAAAGCAATTTCAGGAGTTCACCAACCAAATATTTGCGTACGTGTTTAATCTTTGGAACAGATTCACCGACAGCTTTATTCAGAGCATAATACAAGGAGAAAATCCTGAACTGTCTCAAATTCATCTTGAGAAAGCACTTCTGACACTTCGAATTTTGCGAAAGTTGTCCAGTTTCGGCTTTTTCAAGCCACACACCAACAAATACTGCATGGATTTTATGAATATGATTTTTCCCAAAACCAGAAGCATGTTGATATGTTGTAAGTACATCCTAATGGCGTTTTTCTGTTCAGTGATTTGAACATTCGTATTTTAGATAAGGAAATGAAGAGCAAAAGATATCAGCATATGGAGAATTGTGAAAAATTCATTATACATTTGACAAAAGTGCTTTTGTCTATGCTGGATTTCCACCCATTGTCTTTTATTGACTTGATTCAACCCACTTTAGAACTATGTGTGTTTTACCTATTTACTGACGAAGGAATCGTTTTCTTATTTCAACGCTTCGTTATACAATGCTTCAATCTGATCAAGGACATTTTATTATGCTCTGAATATCGGTGAGTCAGAATCAGTATATTATTGCTACATTGTAAGTCAGTCACATTGAAGTGATTGGTTTTGAAAGAAGTTGAGAGTAGAGTGAGTGAGCTCATATTGAAAGTACTATAAAAATGTTCTTAGTTTTAAGCTGATATTTAGAGAACCGGTTGAGTTGTAGACTTTAGTTCTTATTGAGGTATCAAGCCTTCAAATGCGCATTTTTTTTTATTTGAAACGCATTCCAGAAATTTTTCTCATTTTCACGCGAAATGCGAAAATACGAAACTACTACGGGTTTTGAAAACCGCTCTTGGCTCTTGCACAAGGCTTTGGCTCGTATGGGAGAACTGGTTGGGCGGCAACGTTCCAGTGCTTATATAGGAATAGAGCCTTAAAATGCGTTTCTTTAACATATAAAACATTATTCAAGAAATGTTTCTAGTTTTCACGAAAAATGCCAAAACCCGAAATTACTGCGGGTTTAGAAAAACGCTCTTAATCTGGCTCATATTTAGAGAACTGGATGAGCCGAAAAGCTCTAGTTGTTATCGAAGAATAGCCTTAAATTGCGCTTGGCTTTACATAAAACATCATGCTAAAATGTTTTTAATTTTTAAGCTTTATGCGAAACTTTAAAATTTAAACGGACTTAAAAACAGCTCTTAGTTTTTGGCTCATATTTAGAAAACCGAATTCGCTATAAAGCCGAATTCGCTCTAATTGCCATTTCCGTATAAAGCTTTAAAATACACACGTAGAAAGATAGTATAGAACATTATTTGAACAATTTTTCTACGTTTTACGCAAAATGCCAAAAGCGAAATTGCTGCGGGATTTAAAAAGCGTTGTTAGTCTTTAAATAAAATTTAAAGAACCTGTTGAGCGGCAAAGCTTTAGTTGTTATGGAAGAATAGAGCCTTAAATTGCGCTTTTTTTAAATATAAAACATCATTCTAAAAATGTTTTTAGTTTTCATGCAAAATGCGAAACTTAAAAATTTAAGCGAACTTAAAAATAGCTCTTAGTTTTTGGCTCATATTTAGAAAACCGGCTGAACTGTAAAGCTCCAATTATCATTTCCGTATAAAGCTTTAAAATACACACGTAGAAAGATAGTATAGAACATTATTTGAACAATTTTTCTACGTTTTACGCAAAATGCCAAAAGCGAAATTGCTGCGGGATTTAAAAAGCGTTGTTAGTCTTTAAATAAAATTTAAAGAACCTGTTGAGCGGCAAAGCTTTAGTTGTTATGGAAGAATAGAGCCTTAAATTGCGCTTTTTTTAAATATAAAACATCATTCTAAAAATGTTTTTAGTTTTCATGCAAAATGCGAAACTTAAAAATTTAAGCGAACTTAAAAATAGCTCTTAATTTTTGGCTCATATTTAGAAAACCGGCTGAACTGTAAAGCTCCAATTATCATTTCCGTATAGAGTATTAAAATACGCACGTTTTTTCATATAAAATATCATTCGAGAAATGTTTCTACTTTTCGCGCAAAATGCTAAAAACCGAAATTACTGCAGGTTTTGAAAAGCGTTGTTAGTCTTTGGCTCGCATTGGAGATCCGGTTGAGCGGCAACGTTCTAGTGGTCATATCCGAATAGAGCCATAAAATGCGCTCTTTTTTTTAATAAAATATCATTCAATTATTGACGGATAGAGCATTAAAATGTTTACGCAAAATTAGAAAATCCGAAATTACTCCGGGGTTTGAAAGCGCTGTTAGTCTTTGGCGTTGGCTCATATTCAGAGAACCAGTTGAGTGGTAAAGCTCTAGTTGTTATACAGCTTTAAAATGCGTTTTTTACATAAAACATCATTTTTTAAATGTTTCTAGTTTTCACACAAAATGCAAAAATTCAAAATTTCTGCGGATTTTGGAAATGGCTGTTAGTTTTTGGCTCGTATTGGACAACCGGTTGAGCGGCAACGTTCTAGTGATCCTATAGGAATAGAGCCTTAAAATGCGCTCTTTTTTTATATAAAATATAATTCTTGAAATGTTTTAAGTTTGCACGCAAAATGCAAAAATCCGAAATCGCGTCGGCATTTCAAAAGCTCTATTAGTCTTTGGTTTATATTTAGAAAACCGGTTGGGCCGTAAAACTCTAGTTGTTATTGAAAGATAAAGCCTTAAAATGCGTCCTTTTTCATATGAAACATAATTCTAGAAATGTTCCTAGTTTTCACGCAAAATTCAAAAAACTGAAATTACTGCGGGTTTCAAAGAGCGCTGTTAGTTTTGGCTCATATTTAAAAAACGGGTTGAGAGGTAAAGCTCTTGTTGCCACCTAGGGATTCAGCTTTGAAATGCGCTCTTCTTTTGTATGAAACACTACTCTAGAAATGTTTCAAGTTTTCACGCAAAATGCAAAAAGTTTCTGCGGGTTTTCAAAAGCGCATCTGGTATGCGGCTTATATTTAGAGAACCGGTGGAGCGGTAAACCTCTTGTTTTCATATAAGAGTTGCGCCTTAAAATGCGCTTTATTTTATATAAAAAGTTATCCAAAATCTTTTTAGTTTCGATGCAAAGAGCGAAACTTAAAAATTTAAGCAAACTTGAAAACCGCGGTTAGTTTTTAACTCGTATTTAGAGAACCAGTTGAGCTGTACATCTCCACTTGCCATTGCCAAACATAGCATAAAAAGTCGCACTTTTTTAAAATCTGAAACGTAATTCTAGAAATGTTTCTAGTTTTCACGCAAAATTCTGCGATTACTGCGGGTTATGAAAAGCGCTGTTAGTCTTTGGCTAATATTTAGAGAAACGGTTGTGTGGCAAAGCTCTAGTTGTCATCTAGGGATTGAGTCTTAAAATGAGCCCTTTTTATATAAAACATTAGCTTAGAAATGTTTCTAATTAATAATAATTAATAAACACTGATCTTGAAAACCGTTCTTAGTCCTTGGCTCAAGTTTCGTGAACTGATTGAGCTGTAACTCTCTCTGATTTTTTCCCATCTTTGCAACGCTGTTGCAGATTCCTAATGGCTGACTCACACCAAACTACCTTTTTTATTTTGAGCAAACCATGCGTTTTTATTTTGCATACGCACTGTTTTTGCGTAAAAAACCTAGTTTTTTATTTTACAGAGCGGCCAAGCCTCAAAAGATTGTTGTAACTACGGAGGGTTCAAGAGGCTATGCTAATATTCAAAGCTTCTTCACTCCGGATGCAATTGCAGACATTTGCAGAAAATTAGTGGGACATTATTTCGTTTTAACGCAAGATGAACTGGACGCATGGGACGCCGATCCGGAGGCCTTTTCCAATGACGAATGTGGCGACAGTTGGAAATATAGTTTAAGAGTGAGCAAACAGTGAATTCATTGTCATTATCATAATGGAAAATGATTACTGCCGGCATGAGTAGTTAGATAGAAGTACAGGCAATTTAAATTAGAACTTATAACGTCTACTTTTGTTTAAACTCATTCGTTATTGAATATAATTTTTGTTCGAAATTTATTTTACGCTAGTTCTGATTGATTTTTTATTGAATGTTACAGCCCAGTATGCATACAGTGTTTGTAACCATTTTTCACGAATACAGAGAAGTTTTAACCCCTGTGATATTAGAAATGATAAGTACAACCAACGTGATTGTACCACCTGAAGATATGCAACGGATTTTAAGGAAGGATGCCGTTTATAATGCTGCAGCTTTATGTGCGTTCGACTTGTACGATGAGGTAACATTTTTTTACAAGCGTCCTTCGTTTATTTCTTTTACCACCCTTAATATTTTGCCCGTTTTTTCCTGCTAAGCATTTTAAGTAAAATGTGGCAGTTTTTATTTTAATATTAACCACATTTGAATATTCTTTAGGTTGATTTCGATCAATGGTTCACTAACACTTTGGTAAACGAGCTGAAAATCAAACATGTAAACTACAGATTAATCAGGAGAAGGGTGGCCGTTTTAATTGGCCGATGGACGGGCATTAAATTATCCGTCGATCTTAGACCCGCCCTGTATGAATGTGTTATTGGATTATTGCGACCCGAAGAAGATATGGTAAGGTTAATAAGAGTTGATAAGGTTGAGTGGGGTAAAAAGTAAACGATTTTGACAAATAGTTTTGTTTGCAAATTTATCGTCACTTAAAAAGTAGATCATTATCTTGTTTCGACCTACAAATTTTTCATTGTAATAATTAATCTAGCACGTTGTAGTGAGATGAAATAAAAGAGCAAAATTTCAATTTTGGAAAATTAGTATTTAAAAGAAGTTGTTAATGTTTACTTTTACCCCAGCAGAATTGAAAACAACATGTTTTTTATTTGATCTAGCTTTTTTATGCAAACATGGAAACTTAAAAACTACCGAGAAACTCGTGAATTTGGAAAGGAATAAAAGTATAAATAAAACTCTATCTTAAATAGTAACGTAAACATACATTTTTCTACACCGGAACTACGTTTTCAAAGTTACAATGAACTCGTTCGCCTTTCATTTTAATTGGGGGAAATTGCAATTCCCCCAGTGCCTGGTTTTCCACAACAAAACTAACATCACTTGCCTGAACCGCAAAGTTTTTCTTTGTGTGATCCACAGATTTTAGTCCTGCTACTTCCACTTCCTGATCAACAATATTCTCTATAAAACACACATATTTGTAGGTGGTTGTATTTCTTTTCCCTCCCTTAAATTGTGCAAGTGCGAAACTTGCATGTTTTAGCTCTGAAATTGGTGTCTTAGTTGTCGGAATCGGATCTTCCTCGCCTACAACACGGTACTTAGCCTACAAAAAAAAATTCCAACAAACAAAAAGTCGCACGAGGCCAAATCTGGAAAATACGATAGATGGAGGTGGAAGCCGGGGCATAGTTATGGTGGAAGAGCACTTTTTTTTTCGCCAAATGGGGACGTTTTTTTTCTGCAACTCCACGTCGAATCGGCCCAATAATTCGGAATAGTAGAGCCTTGTGATCGCTTCCCCTTCTCCAGGTGGTCGATATAGATCACACCTTGTGAATCCCAGAAAACGGTGGCCATCACCTTTTCGGCCTTAAGGGCAGTCTTCGCCTTCTTCGAAGCATGTTTGCCGGGTAAGGTCCACTGCTTCGACTGTTCCTTGGTTTCTGGTGTGCACCGGTGGATCCATGTTTCGTCCATGGTCACGAACCGACCCATAAACTCCTTTTAGTCCAGTCGGATTAGAGATTTCCGGGCGCTAAATAGATGAAGGGAGGTAAAAGATTATTGGGAGGCGTTTGGAAGGATGTCAGAATATTGGGACAGTAGTTTAAGCGCGATTTCCGGTTGTGAAACATTGTTTAAATAATTAAAGAAAGTGCTAAAACCCGTTTTTGCGCTTTCTTTTTTAAGTTTAAGTTGTAGTATAACTCCACGAATTTTAGGGGTAAATTGAAAACAATCAATTGTTTTCAATCAAATTACTGATTCAGAAGTGTTATGATCAACGCCAAGATGTCTATGTATGCTTCATAGATTATTAGAAAGCTTTCGACAACGTCAGGCACAATATTCTCCTAAATAGACTGCTGGAGATAGGAATAGACGCCAAAGACATCAGAATCATACAGGAACTATATTGGAACCAAACCGCGGATATAAGAGTTAACAGAAACGTATACACAGATACCTCAATGTATGTAAAGGAGTCCGCCAGGGCTGTATATTGTCAGCAATACTTTTTAATATATACGTCGAAAAGGTCTTTCAAATGGCCCTGGAAGGAGAAAGTAGAGGAATTAAGATTAACGGAATTCCAATTAACAATATACGATATGCAGATGATACGGCAATTCTAGCCCTAACTTTAGAGGATCTCCAGCAAATAATGGATAGGATAGAGGCCATGGGTAAACGTTATGGTCGTAAAATCAACACTACCAAGACCAAACTTATGGTAATAGTTCGCCAGCCTATAATCAACACCGCATTGACGGTTGATGGAAATATTATAGAGCGAGTATCACGACTTAAATATCTGGGTGCCATGATMAWCGAAMGATGGGACTGCGATGAAGAAGTTAAACTTASAAMGAATTATGCAAAWASAACATTTTGCAAACTTAAARACTTCCTATTAGCTCGCAGTCTCCCGCTAGCACTTAGACTACGGGTAGTAAAGTGTTACAWATGGCCCATCTTACTATACGGCGCAGAAACGTGGTCTCTCAAAGCTAGAACCCTAAACCGCAYCGAGGCGTTTGAAATGTGGACTYYCCGGAGACTCTTACGCGTGCCATGGACCGCACATGMCAYGAATGAAGAMWTTTTGMRATCTGCAGGCTGCGRACGAGAAATACTTAACATCGTTAAAGAAAGAAAMRTTTCYTACCTCGGYCATATCCTTAKRGGAGGCAAATATTACATTCCTAAACTAATTCTACAAGGAAAARTAGARGRACGTCGAGGCCCAGGAAGAAAGCAACACTCCTGGCTAAGAAACATACGGGACTGGTGTAACATCAGCGATGCAGCCACCATATTTCGAAGAGCCGAGAACCGCACTCTGCACATTGTATGAAGAGTACAGACAATCGCCAACGTGCGTCTAAGCACAAGGCACAAGAAGAAGAAGGGCTAAATTAGACCGTCAGAGAAGTGGCTCCGACGTCTAAAAAAAACTTATTTCGAATCTGGCAAGAGTCTTTTGTAAATAACAAATAGGAATAAACAACAAGTTACGAATACTTTAAGTTAAAATTTATATCACTTATGCAGTTAGAGTACGAATTTTTTGAAGCAAAACTAAATTAATTTAGTTTTTTTTTAGTTTTTTTTGAGTAAATAAATGAACCGATTTTAATTTATTTGTTTGTGTTATATTGTGGGTATTTTTAATACTTAAAAAAATTATTAAACTTTTGTTGAATAGCATCAGCGGTTCAAAAGTTATGCATAAAAACGGTTTATCGCACTTTATTTAATAATTATCAAATTATTGTCCCAATATTCTGACATCCTTCCAAACGATTTCCAATAATTTTTTACCTTAATCTATTTAGTGCCCGAACCAGGCCTTTTAAAGTCATCTTCTTTCTTCTTTTTTAGCCCTTGTTCGTCCACTCCTGGACATAGGCTCTTCCAATGTCTTCCATATCGATCTATCTTGGGCAGTCTTTATCCAATTCTGCCCCGCATGTCGCTGGATTTCGTCTCTCCATCTCCTATGCGACTTTTGGTTTCCCTTGGTCTCCATTGCATTAGTGTTTTCGTCCATTTGGAGTTATTTCTGGCCAGGTGCCTCGCCCACTGCCACTTTAGCTTCGCCATTCTTTCCACGACGTCGCAGACTCCTATACGTCCTCCGCCTATATCTACGTTTCGGCTCCTGTCTCGTAGAGTTACTCCCAGCATTGCTCGTTCCATCGCTCTTTGGCACATTTGGAGACGGTTTGCGCTGTTCGCTGTAAGGATGGCGGTTTCCAGTCCGTACGTTAGCACAGGAAGGATGCAGTTATCGTAGACTGTCTTTAGGTTTATTGGAATTTTTGGTTGTCGAAGTATGTAGCTGAGCTTCCCGAATGCTGCCCAGCTGAGGCCCATTTGTATGGAAATCTGCGGTTTGATTACTTTTTCCGATTTTGATGTTATGTCCCAGATATATGTATTCATCCACTAGCTCCAAAGTATGGTTCTCTCATGTTAGATGTACTCATGATTTTCGTCTTCTGTAGGTTCATTTTAAGACCAACAGCCTCGGAGACTACTCTGAGTTCTGGGAGCATCGTCGTAAGTTCGGCCGGACCGCTGCTAAAGAGGACGATATCGTCTGCGAAGCGGAGATGATTAAGATATTTCCCATCGACTTTCTTGGTGCCTTTCTGATCCCATGATAGGCCTTTAAATGCGTTCTCCATTGCTAGGGTGAATAACTTGGGTGAAATTGTATCCCCCTGCCTAACACCTCGCTGTACTTGGACGTTTGCAGTAACCCATTCTTCTTCAATTTTTACGTGCATGGTAGCATGTTTGTAGATATATCGTATGATGTTCGAGCATCTGTAATCTATGCGAGCGTTATTCATCGCATCCAGTATCGCCCCGGCTTCGACAGAATCGAAAGCGTTCTGGTAGTCGATGAAGGCCATTTGCAGTGGGATGTTGTATTCCGTGCATTTTTCTACTAACGTGCGTACGGCTTGTATATGACCAGCGGTGCTGAGGCCCTTTCTGAAACCCGCCTGTTCGACTGGCTGGTAAAAGTAGAATTTATTGCTCTGGCGGTTCGTTATTATTTTAGTTGGTAGTTCGTAGAGGATGGATAGCAGACTAATGGGCCTGAAATGCTCTATATTTGTACAATCGCTTTTCTTGAATAATAGGATGACTTCTGCGTTTTTCCAAGAGTCCGGGATTTTCTCTTCTTCTAGACACTTATTAAGTAAGGTCCGGAGTGCTTTCCTGAATGTCTCTCCTCCGGCCTTCAACATCTCACTGGTGATTTGGTCTACTCCCGGGGCTTTGCAGATCTTCAGGTGCTTTAAAGTCTAATCTGACTGGACATAGGACTCCCGTAGCTTCCTCCATCCCTGCCGATCCTGCGCTGCCTCTATCCAGTTGACCTTTATCCTTTTGATGCCAAAAATCGCGCCACATGACCGGTCCAGTTTAGGCCTGGGTAACACTGTGTTGAGTTGCGCTTTTGAGTTGTTGCCGCTCTCTGACTTGATGATTAGCCGATGAGCTATAACTCATCTGTTAAAGTTGATTAAAGCTTTACGAGACCCGGAACTGGAATTTTAACACCTTAAAAAAGGTCATAAATTTTTTGATGAGTAACGTTTGACAACTTTTCCAAACAACCAAAAAAAAGGTTACGTCATTTTTAATTAAATCATAATTTAAGTAACATAAATAATTGAAATTTATATAAAAAATAGATGAAATTAATTAAAGTAAACTACAAATTTGACGAATTTTAAGAACAAAGTAAATCTCCAGTAGATGACTGTGGAACTGCCGAACGTTGTTTTAACAAAGGTTGTTTTACTGGTAACCGCGTCCGTCACTCTAGACCTTTCCCTTAACATTATATTTGAGATTCTGTCTCTTAGCGATATACCTAACATTGACCTCTCTATTTTTTTTTTAATTTTTATCAAATCAAAAAAAAATAGAAAATAGAGAAAAAATAAAAATTAATGTTTAATTTAGGATTTTGGATTCACGATGAGGATTTTTCGATCGAAGATACAGGGGTATTTTTTTAGCTAGAAACCTGTATTTTCAAAAGAATATAAGTTTGTAATTTGTAACTATTTCTACATTGCACTAGATAGCGCGCACTATTCCGTGAATTAATTGATTCGAATGATTTACATACTTATAAGAAGAGGTGGTAAAGCCGTCCATATTAGTAGAAGTGACCGATTTTCACAATCACCCTGGTTGACCCTAATAGTCTTTAATTGGCAAAATAAATACATTTTTCAGGTTGTTCGATTGACTGCGGCAACGACTCTCCGGTATGCAATAGACGATTTTGAGTTCAACGGGGAACAGTTTAAGGATTATATGTTCAATGCATTTGATTTGCTTTTTACACTATTAAAGGAAGGCAGTGAGTGCGAAACTAAGGTAAGTTCAAAATTGGAGTCAAGGCTGTTTAATTTGCAGTCATGTTTCAGATGCAAATCTTAAACGTTATGTGCTTGCTGTTGGAAAGAATGGGCTCCAATATAGTTCCTCACTCAAAGACTTTCGTTCAGTACCTGCCGCATTTGTGGCAGGAATCGGAGGATCACAATATGCTAAGATGCGCTATAGTTGCCACTTTGGCTGAATTTGTTAAAGCCTTTGGGAGTGTTCCAGAGGTTAGTCTGAAACCAATCGTTTTTCAGTTAGCGACATTAAAATTTTCTAGGATTTGACTCACTTTTTGTTACCAATCATCCAAATGGGCACCAACACCAATGAAAGTTCTATAGTGTATCTGTTAGAAGATGCTTTGGATTTATGGACGGCGGTGCTGGAATATTCACCCACGATGACTAACGAGTTGATGCAACTTTTCAACAATATGCCTTCTCTGCTAGGTAAAGGTGATCTAAAGTCGATGTGAAGTGTTGCATGTATTTTTCGGTGTTCAGATTATACTACCGAAACATTGAGAACCTGCCTGTATATTTCGTTGGTGCATCTACTGTTGGCCCCCGAGTGGGTGATGCGGAGCCAAGGAAATCAACTGATGTCGATCTGTGTCAGTCTCATGAGCGACTTGAAGAATGAAGGTGTAGTCATGTTGATGAGATTGGTAGATAGTTTTATTCGGGCTATTCCTGGATTGGGAAGCGAAACTGTCATGCCAATTTTGCCGAAAATTTTCGAGTGAGTGTTAAATAAAGAGTTGTTGGCCTCATAAATTTTATTGAATCGTTCCAGTCGAATCTATGAAGGAGAAGAGTACCCGCTAGTCATGTCGATGTTTATGTGCATTTTCGGCAGAACATTATTAAGTTCGCACGAAGTGTTCGCCCGAGTGATTGCGGAAGTAGCGCGCGATAAGAACGAGAACGAGCAAGTTACCCTGATAAAAATTTTCGATATTTTCTTAACCCGAATGTCCAATGTTGCCCAATTGGATCAAAGGAAATTATTAGGTAATTTTACCCCGCATTTCCTCGATTTATGCAACCAATGTATTATACTTTTTACAGGATTAACGCTGACTAATTTCCTTACCACCCAGTCGACGCCAATCTTGCAACGTTTCAATAAAATCATGTCTAATATTGTGGAGGTTCTGAACGACATCAGCAAAGCGGAAGATGATGGCGCTTATGTCGACACGCTGGTTTTATTGGAGGGTCAAAGCCCCAGTCACTTTGATGAGTATGGCAGCTGTTATGAAACTGATCACGACCAAAGAAAGAAACAGCTAATTTTGAACGATCCCGTGCATACAATTGTTCTAAAGGACTATCTGCAGTCTCAGGTAAGGTTTTAAAATACAAACGGCCTTTTAAGTCGCTTTGCAATCATTTGCCTTAAACATTGCGATTTGCATGGTACATACAGGGTGAGTCAACTTTCGATAGAAAACCCTATTTGAAGATTAAATTATTATATAAACGTATATTGAAAACGGTTTCGTTTTTGATTTACAGGGTGGCAAAGTCGGCATTTTTTTACAATTATTTTGGTAATACTTTACACCACAACCTGAACGACGGACACCAAAGAAATTCCCTTGAATTTCAGCTTCGACTATTTTTTTTGTAGAAGCGATGCCAGAATTGGCCAGAGGCAAATGAAAACTGGCAAAAATCGAGTTACGTAATGGTTGAAGTTCTGGTTGTCTTCTTTTGTTTAACGTTGAACGCCCTTAAATCAAATCCAATTTCCAAAACTTGCCCAGAATTTTAACGCCAAAGAAATTCTCTGGAATTGATGCATCGACTATTTTTCTGTAGAGGCAAAACCTTATAGTCCAGAGGCAAACGAAAATTGGCAAAAATCGAGTTATTTAATGGTTGAAGTTCTGGCTGTCTGATTTTGTCCAGATCTCGCTTAGTGAAAATCCAATTTCGAAAACTCGCCATGCATTTTAAGGTCAAAGAAATTTGGAAAAAGTTTTTTGGAAAAATCTTGAAAACCGTTAGTGGTTGAAACTTCAAACAACAATACTTATACGTAAATATGAACGGAAAATTATTTCATTTTAAAATCAAGGTGATACGGGTAGGCATAAAAAGTTATTGTTATTTAAAAATTAATGACTTCCTTGTAAATTGGGCGAAAACTTGGACAGAATTGGATGTGGTATTGCACCTAGTCCTAGAATATAGAATTTGATTACAGCATCCTTAGGTTTGGGTAAATTATTTAAAAAAGTGAAAATAAAGTGTTAATTTTGCCACCCTGTATCTAAAAAACAAAGCAGTTTTCAATATATGTTTGAATAATATTTTCATCGGAAAAGTAAATTTTTGCCCTAATTTTGGGTCAATTTTGGGAGGGTTTTGGTGTGTTTGAAGCGAAGAGCCACTTGTTTCTTGCTGTCAGTGTTTTGATCAAAATTAAGAACCTGAGACAAATTTTCTATAGGGTGGCAAATGGAAAAATGCAAAATTGCGGAAAGTTGGGGCATTTCGTTGTGAGACTGAGTGAGAGCAGGTCTACTCTAGTTCTGTGGTATCTTCTACGCTCACAAGCGTCTACGTATACGGCAGTTCTTGTCACTTCTATCTATCGATTGCGGCGACAAGAAGTGCCGTATACGTAGACGCTCGGCCTAGTCGTTACGTCACAGCACCTTGACGTGCGGTGGTGCCGCTTGAACCCAAACTAACTCAAATTAAACTTTGAAACTCGAATATTTCAATATGAGCCCTAGATTTTGAAAATGGGTTCAAGCGAGAAAACATGACTTATACGTTGATTTTTTTGAGTCCATTCTGTAAATAAACGAGATGGTCGACAAATTCAAAAACGTCTTTCGAGTCATGCGGTCCATCTTAATGCTAAAAAACGGTTTTTTGTCACCAAAATGTTCAATTATTGTGTTTACAAAACTTCTCCTTCGTCTTACTCAAAAAAGCAATTTTGGAATATTTCAATCAATGTGAGGAAGGTCAAAAGTTGTGAGTTTGTTTAAGTCGATGTTACGGATCATCAAAAATTCTCAGAACCCAGAAAATGTTGAGTTTTCAGGAACTAATACATTTTTTACTTTGGCAAGATCTCAGGGAAGTAAACGGACTCGGTTGTTGTCAAATCTTTAACTTGCTTGATCATTTTTTTTAATCCTGCAAAGAATTTGCCATTTTGTCTCCGAAAGCTGCAGCAGTCTCCAAATTTTACGAACAGAATTGAGCAAGCGAACATTTTTTTCGCAAAATTTGAACTGAAGAAACCGTGCAGATTTGTGCTAATGAAAAATGCCTTTTGGGTTCTATTATTTTATTGATGTGATCTCAATATTCGTTTCTTCCTGTCTTTCTTTCAATTTAAATATTCATTCAAATTAAACAAAGGATTTATCTGAATTTCTCTCAGCTTGTTAGCCTAAGAGAAACTATACCATGTCCAGCGAATGAACGCTGAAACTTATCTATATACAGGGTTATTCACGCTATACGGCACGGACCTTTACGGCTAGCCCGTTTGTTTTTGCAAAGTACTATTTGATGAATCCAGAGACGCCTATCGGGTGCACATTTTAAAAATATGTTTGTAATGTACAGAGTGTCCCAAAAGCCCTAAAAGTATCAAAGTTGTTTTTCAAAATGAAATACCCTATATATTATTACATTTTTGGATTCTCTGATTAAAATAAGTGTTTGTTTTAATAAGATTTATAATATCTAAATCTAAAGGTTTTTTAAATAATTCGAATTTTATCAAAATCTAATATTATTTTCATGTGTCAAATACTTTGGAATTATTTAAGTTATGTAAATGTAATTCGTAGTTTGGTGTAACAAGAAATGATATTTTATATCCCAATGATAATATACTTCTGTGCACCATTTGGTGTTTTTTTAAATTAAAAGGTTAAATAACATATCAACAATAACATAAAACAAAGGCAAATTATTTATAACAAATGTTCGAAATGTTGACCATCCATTTCCAGGCACTTGTAAATTCTTTTTTTAAAACCACGGCTAACTCTGGACAACATTTGCGGAGTAACCGTTTTAAAAGCGTCTCTTATGCGTGATTTCATATCGTGTGAAGTTGTCGGAAGCGCATGGTAGACAATTCCTTTTACGTACCCCCACAGAAAGAAATCTAGTGGAGTTAAGGCCGGAGATCTGGGGGGCCAATTTGGAAACCCATTTCTGCCAATCCACCTGTTTTGAAAGTTGGCATTTAAAAATTGTCGAACTTCGCAGTGATAATGAGGCGGAGCTCCATCCAATTGAAGCCACATGTTGG